CAAAACAGTCTCCCCTATGCTGTATTACAACATAACACAGTTTTCAACTCGTAACATGACTTTAAACTCGCACGAGTTCAGAACAGCGTCCCCTATGCTGTATTACAACATAACACAGTTTTCAACTTGTAACGTGATTTTAAAGTCGTGCGAGTTCAAACAGTCAATACTAGATGCGCTCAGGCGTTTTTTCGTCTCGTTAAGAGTACGAATTTAACATGAAGTCATTTTTGTTTTAAGAGTATCTTTGAAAATAAACAAAAGAAATCATTAATAATATACTTCTTCAATGAAGCACTGCAACGTATCGTATAATGAAGGCTATGCGAAGACTAGATTTGTTTTATTTGATTATAAGATGCGGGGCAGGGTACATACGTGTACGTACTCGAGTACGGTTTGGTGGTACTCGTACCCGTACTTGTACTTTGTGCACATAATGCATTTCTTTAAGAAACCAATAAATAACTCCTGAAGAACAATCTCTCACTATTTCGGCTTCATTCACACGCTGACAGCGCGTCTGTAATCAATTTTCTATATATAACTATATGTGTTAATAATTTTCTTGTATAATAAAAGAAGTAAAGTCACATCAAAATCAGTGAATATGATCCGAGGTAGCAGAGAATTCGGACGTTCGGCTCAACCTGCAGGCACACAGAATGTTCTACAGCATGGACCATCTGTAACACGTGTTGTGAAATCTTCTGATCCTAATCGCCAACATCTTGAAAATAATACAGGACCAACAAATGGAAGAAAAGTTAAGAAGATCATTCATATAAGAATTCGATCTCCCAAAAAAACTGCACCGGTCAATTCTATTAATGATTTACTTTTGGTTTGATATGATAGAATTTTAATTCTTTTTAGTATCTGTTTTTTTTCTTGATAGTTCTCATCCATTTTAACTGCTCGTCATCAACAAGCTGGACAAAATGAATCTTCTATTGTCCAAAATTCAACCACATTGCAACGAAACGGAACGCCAGTTGTTAATAATGCTGAACCCACTCCATGTCATCAATCTGGATCACAAGTAAGCATAAAAAAGGGATCCAGATGATGTTTTCTTTATACGAAGAACTTCTCTGTTAAATTTTTTATAAACTATTTCATTCATCCCTCAGATATTTGCAGAAGTTTATTGGTTATAATCTTTTAAGATACAGATCGCATCATAAGAATAAGGCAAATGATTATTTTTATCAAAAGATAAAGTTCAATATTTATGCTAACAATATATTTCTATCATCATCATAGCACCATCAGGATTCTTGGAATAGTGATAATTTTCAATCAAATTCAAAATCTCGCGTCATATCTTCAGCGGATACAGATGGAAAAATAAACAATAATCCAGGACAGAATCTCTCAAGAATATTTTCAACAAAACGTCACATCTTCCGACCATTTCAAGTGCATGGAAGCGAGGTATTTCATCCTCATGACCAATTTAAAATGCAATATATTTTCTTAAGAGTATCGATAATGGTTGGGCATTTGAGCTTAAAAATTCCACTGATATGACGGTAAGGAATGAGGGGTGTCCAAGGACTGAGCAATAGGAATTCTCCCAATTCCTAATAATACCATACAAATATATATAATTCCCTGAGGAATTGAGAAATGACCATCATTCACCATACATTTCCTCGATATTTCCTGGACAATTCCCCGTTAGGTACTAACGTGACAAGGAAATGACATAAACATCACACCCACACTTCCTTCTCAATTCCTCAATTTCTTCGAAGGAAATGAGCTCATGACAATACCTAACGTAAGGAACCGAGGAAATGAGTAGAACTGATAGTCAGTTCCCCGTCAGGGAACTGACATTTTCCTTATAGAGATACCCAAACACAAACGCAATAGCTACAATACAAAACTATTTTGGAAAAAGAAAACAAAGCCGGGGAATCGAGGAATTATCTCAGTTCTGCCGATAGTTCCTCAGTTTCTACTGGGTACCTATAAGGAACCTAACATCAGTCCCCCGGGGACTGAAAATATTTCAGGACTCCCATACTAACATCCGGTAAAATAAAAGCAGTAAAAAACGTTTAAGACGAGTACAAAACGAGAAGCGGGACTCTGTATCTCATACACATATATTTCATCAAATAACATAAGTATCTTGTTTCTATGAAAAGTTATTCGAAAAATATCCACCCGCCTTCTTTTTTGAAACGGTGATCAGTTCTTTATTTTTATTTCATGTTGCCAGAATTTTTCGTCACTTTTCTGGTACTCACGAGCCCTGATCAATTAGAATGACGCTATTATTGACGGTCCAGTTAAAAAAAAGAGTCAATCTTTTTGTTTGATTCATAAAATAATTGTTGAAATATTCACACAAAATATTTTTTATGATAAGAAAAATATAAATTTAAATTAGGAATCAGAAAAAAAGTATTTTTAAAGAAATTGTTTCACAAGTATCTTTTAACAAGACGTGTTATTAATCGTGAATCGTTGAACGCGATTATTCGAATACTCGGAGACGTACATATCTCCATTCTTGTCGAATCGGACTCCGGACGGATTGTTCAATTGCGTCGCCGTGGTTCCAGGAGAGCCCGAAATGCCTGCCACTAGCGTTCCATTATTTGCATTTTTCAGCCATTTCATTATTCTATGGTTGTCATAATCAGCAACGTAGACCGTTCCAGATGAGTCGACAAAAACACCTTGTGGATGACTCAATTGCGTGTATAGCGAGCCAGCGAAGTTACCTCCCGCAACGACTGTGCCATTTGTAGCGTTTGGAGGCCATTTCATCACACGATGATTCCCATAATCTGCAACATACAATGCATCGTTATCAGATTCATCGACATAGATATTCCAAGGTGTGTTTAATTGATTGAGGGATGAACCTGCCACACCGGTTCCAGCCACCATGATGCTATTTGCAGATGAATTTGAGTTAGGAGGAAATTTAAGTACACGATCATTTATCCAGTCCGAAACATAAATATTATCAAATCCTATTTAAAATGAAAATAAATTAAATTAAATTAAATTAAAAAAAGATGAAGCAGAGCGAAAATGGCAGTGAGAGGTGCAAGTATATAGAAGGAGAGCTTTTTTCATAATCTATTTAAACCAGCCGGAAAACTAAACTGAAGACGACCGTCATTACTTATAATGGAACGACTTGTCCACTTTCGTTTAAACTTTTACCGTACATGGAATTTTTAAAGTTGTACGACTAGTATAACTGATTATTTAGATTGGAAAAATTCCTAACATCGATACCATCGATGTCTTGAATGATTCATACAACGTTCCTCAAACGCAACGAATATTAGACTTTTGAACAAAACAGAATAGAACAGAGTGGGTTATGAAACGGGTGATATACGCGCGTGATTCTATATTTGAAAACTGA